GAGCAATGCAAAGTAGTCTGGCAAAACACAATCAAAGGTCACAGTGCAAAAAAATAATGCCCCTAGAGGATTATTATCTCCCTTTTAATTCTCATAGGATGTCTAAAAACTTGTATTGCTGTATTTGATCCGCACTGCCTCATTATAATGATAGCATCCCTAGTAGACAAAATAGTCTAGAAACTTTGCACAAACAAGTAAAACAATCTCCGAAGGATCCGAAAGCTTGGGTTGGCAATCTGATCTCTCATTAATTCCCTGGAAGTGCTTGTGCTAAGAAGTGTTCTGGGATTCCCCCCCCCCACCTCAGTCAATCACAGCAATGTATTTGAAATACAAATTGCTACGCAGTGTTTACAAAACGAAACACGGCTCTTTCTCGAGACGAAAACTCAAGACAAAACGAATGCGTATTTACAGAGAGATGGCCTTTTAAAAGTTTGTTTAGTTTCAAGAGCTTTAGACGTACCAAGCATGGTGGGGCAGAGCCCCCTTTCCTATGCTGCTGCTTACCTAGACAGGGCTGGTGGCCGGGCAGTGCCAAGGCTGGGGCTGCACAGTCGTACTGGCAGGACTGCTGCTGCCAATGCAGTGTTCCTGCTAGGGTATCTTCGTGGCTTCAACCTCACTTCACCACTGCCCACCCATAGCCCCTTCCAAGTAACCAGCAGCGGGGTTTGGAAGGCGGCTTCCGCCACCCCACATACGACCAGAGCCGTAGCTAGGTGATCTTGCGCCCCTGACGGAACCGTCCAGATTGCGCCCCCTGGCCATTGACAAATTAGCTCTTCTTTCCACCTCTTATCCACCCATTCAATTCACCCTCTATTAAAAACCATTTCCTATGAGGTAATATTCAGTATTTTTATTTATAGGTATATTTATAGACATATTTTTAGTCGATTTAGCCGGGGGGGGGGCTTGCCTGTGTCCCTGGTGGGCGCCTACCTCACCACCCCCTAGCTATAACTACTGCACATAACTACTGAAAAGCTGGTGCCAGTTTGAAGGCTCAGTCACAATGTCCGTGCCAACTCTGAACCCAGAAGGAAACAGAGGGTTAACAAAAACCTTTCTCCTTTCCAGCGGTCTAGAATTGTAGAAACAAGGGACAGAATGCCAGGGCACAATACATGACTTGGAGTCAGTTTTCAGCTGAAGAGCAGCTTAAACACAGTAAGCTTGGCCTTGTATTCTCTGTATTATAGACTGAAAGCTGATATACAGTAATAATGCTATTACTTCTCCACAAACTTGATATAGTGGTTAACATTTCAGAGTGATGTGCTGACCCTGCTGCTCCCAGTCACTGCGTTCAATTCTTTGCATCACACACACAGCAAATGTGGTAAATACTTTAGCAAGGCCTTCTGTTACAAATACTGCACATAATGTGCTTCCGACACCTTATGCACAAACACTCTCCTCAGCCTTCCCCACACTACTGCCCAACAGGAGGGAAAGCTGTCTACAGTGTGCTGAATGAATATATGTTATCAGTTCAATGTGCTTGGTGATAGAATAGTGATACTCTGCTTTGAGGGAACTGTCTATTTGTTTCAAAATGCACAAACAATACTCAAAAGAAATCAGTCAACATCTTTGAGAACCTTTGCAGCTCTAGTTTCAAGGAATGCCTGGGTAAAGAATAATAAATGCAAAACAGGGACAAAATTAAGTCTTACAAGATAGGATTGTACGCACAGATTAAAATGGAACAATAATGTTTTTGCTGGAAAATGATATGGCAATACATCCAAAATTGTAGGTCATTCCCATCAACTGTGAAGGCCGCTCCTGACCTCATGGGACACATCAGGATTTTTTTCAGCTGTGTTCAGGATTAACACCTAAAAAATTGATGCTTGCTAGAAACTTAAAACATAAACCAATTCCTGAATCCTAATAACTCCAACTGGTTTTCACTTGCATACTTGCTAAACTCCATTTTCCACCCTATTTATATCGATTTTATCCTGCTAAATACCCACCATGCTCTAACCAATGGAGCTATCCAGGCTTGCCCATTTCTCTTAATGCGCCTATAGCTCTATCAAAGAATCAAAGAAGTGTAGAACTGAGGAGCATCTAGTCTAACCCCCTGCAACGCAGGAATATGCAGGCATCCCATAAGGGAACTGAACCTGAAACCTTGGCGTTATAGTTCCACGCTCTAACCAACTGAGTTATCTTGGCCAGGTGATTCTATTGTCCATATCAATTCCTATTTTTCTGTTTCTATGTTGCATGTTTCAAATACTTATGTACATAGGCCCTCAATCCAGAAACAACAATTAATGAGCCTACCAGCAGGCCAATGAAGCAAACTGTTTTCTTGAGCCCCTATCCCTAGGATGCCCAGCTTTATATTTGGAGATTTTCCTTTCACCCCTTGCCATACCAAGCGGACAGCACATCATAATAAAATTAAAATAATAATATTAATTTACATCCCGTTCTTATACTAAAAGTACTCAGAGTAGCATACAGTGTAATAAAAAATAAACTTAATATAATAGAAAGCACAAATGCAACAACCAATTTATAACATCAGTTCCAATCACACTGTGACCAGCTTAGAAGAGTGACACAGCTTTCACCTCTACACGGACTTGCTGCTTATTCTGACCAGAGCAGAAGATGGAGAAGGAGGAAAAATTGCTATGCTGCCTCCAGGCTGGTGCAGAGAAGAGGCCCTATTGCAAACGTGATCAAAGCAGGGACAGCTGAGAATCTGTTTCCGACCTTTCCCAGCATCCAAAACACTGTTTTCCAGTAGCTTCTGCCCATTTGGGCAGGTTTCTTAGCGTACTCTTCGCCAGCAGGGCTCCCTCACTGGTGACAGAGAAGATCCAGGAAGGGCTGGCTAGCAGGACACCTCTGCAGCACAGGGGGACAGGGGGCTGAATTGCCCTGCGTATAGTAATTGAGAAGATCCTTGAGGAACCTCAAAGGAGAGGAGTCTTCTTTTTAGATGCAGCAACACAACGTGTTTGTTTCAGAAATTAATGTCCTAATAACAGATGACAGCAGTCCAGATCACAACCCTAGCTGTGCTTTGCTCAGCAAAAAAATAATGGAACAGTTACCAGAAATGGTTCCTCTATCTATTGAAGTACACGTAAACAAGAACTATTTCCAAAACTCCAGATGTCTTGGTCCTTAACCCTTCTACACCATGCCCTGCAAAGAACTGACAGAACTATTATGGCCATTTTACAAGCCCCTTGGAAATGTCATACAAAAGGAACTTGTCCCACACTCTTCAAAATAACTGTTTTGATGGTCACATTATACTGAGAGGTTGCATTATGAAGAAACTGGAGCTGGAAACTTTGAGTCTCTGTGCTCTGTTTTAAACAATCAGCACATCTCAGTTTTATTCAGTTCTTGCTATTCCTTTTCCAAAGGAGGTTAAAAAATAATAATACATACTAGCTCTTTTTTATTCCATAAGGGCTTTTCTTGTCATACTTATGCATCTTTGTTTTATTAGTTTCTTTATCTCTCTATCCCTTTCTCCCTTGAGAACTATTATATATTTCAAAAGGGCTTGAAAAACTAATAAGGTCATTGTATTGGTTTATGATTATGTTTACTTGCTTCAGATGACACCTTGTAAATGAGGCCTTGTCTACCTCACAGGAAAATGAAAGGTTACTAGGTCAGGCCAAGTGTCCTACTTTGCAGAGGATGGTTCTTTATTTAAAGGGAACCTCTTTCTCTAGAAGTCCTCTGTCTGATTCAAGTCTAGGTTAAAGATAAAGGGCCTTAAGAAAATAGAGCAGGAACTTTGAAGTTGGCTGTCCACAGCACCTGGACAGAAGAATAAGCATACAGGCCATCTGGCCACATGTCCCCACATTGTGGGATGGGTTGACATCATGTGGCTTTCCCAGCCCCAGCCCTGATCTCATGGTCAGGATGGATTTCTGAGTCAGGGAAGCCTTCACATAAACACCTGCTGAATAATAGCTTCCTCTTACAAGGGAGAGATTGTTACTACTCACAAATGACCTCACAACCTAAAGCAAGTCCTCATCATCAGTAACAATGGAATAATGACCAGGCTTCCTCAACCTCGGCCCTCCAGATGTTTTTGGCCTACAACTCCCATGATCCCTAGCTAGCAGGACCAGTGGTCAGGGATGGTGGTAATTGTAGTCTCAAAACATCTGGAGGGCCGAGGTTGAGGAAGCCTGCTCTAGACAAATTAACCTCTGCAACAAATCCCAGTCCTAGCTCTATCCTTGTATTTACTCAAGTAACACTATCTATCATATATCTATCTATCTATCTATCTATCTATCTATCTATCTATCTATTTTCTATACCACTTTATATTTTTAATAAAAAACCTCAAAGCGGTGTACAGCATATTAAATCAATAAAACAATAGCCGAGAGATGTTCCTCCGGCCTCATAAGGAGCCTCTTTGGTAGGTCTGGGTAAGTGTGGGCCCTGCCCCCTAGGCCAGCTGGAAAGGGCCTTGCGGGGAGCAGCCTCCACGCCTCACAGCCAGGCGATGTTCCTCTGGCCTCATGACTATCACAGGACATTGCAACAACAGCCATACTATCAAAGACTCGTCTACCTGCACATCTTCTAATGTGAAACATTTCATCATGCACCTGCACAGCTCCAACCTCACTGCTGCCGCACCCCGTAAGCAACAGTGCTGCCAGTGTTGGGAGGGTGACTGTGGCACAGCCCACCATGCCAGCTACTCCTGGATAGCTCACTACAGAAGGCAATGGTCCTTCTTTTCTAGTAAGGTATGATTTACAAGTCAATGAAATCCAAGAGACACTCTATTCCACTGGCGCTGTTTCAATTTAATACTTTAAAGCTGCAATCCTGTACTCATTCATTTGGAATGAAGACTTACTTTTGAGCAAGACTTACTTTTGAGCAGATATGTCACTTTCATAGATTCATAGAAGAGTTGGAGGGGACCACAAGGATCATCTAGTCCAATCCCCTGCAATGAAGGAATATTTCACCCAAAGTGGGGCTCAAACCCCACTGACCCTGAGATTAAGAGTCTCACATTCTACCGACTTAGCTATTCTTTAAAGCATGTGTAGGACTGCACTGTAAATATATTGCCTTCAAAAACAGGGAGAGAAATTTATTGAAACTAATCCTCCCTCCACAAAAAAAAATCTTCCAAGAAACTTAATTTCTGCAATCAAGTTGTTTCAAAAAGGATTTGGAAAAGAGGTATCAAATGTAACTATATTTTCACAAGTTGCTGAATGGCTGCTTCACAGCTGGCTCAGCCACGCTCTGTTTATTTTAATCTCCATAAATGCTGGTAGACTGAGAATCTGAACGGCAAATATGATTGTCATTGTCAAAATTATAGACTAAACTGACCTATTCATCAAAAATGTTGACAGTTCTCATACAGACCTGCTCTCCATTGTTATATTAAATAAAACCACAGGTTCAATAACTTTTTCCAGGTCTTCCTTAAAACATCAGAGTTTCGTTTCTTTTGGCACAAAGCTGGAAACTGGACAGAAAAGCTAGATTTGTGAGGGTGAAGTAATTTACTGCTATAAAGTAAAAAGCGCAAAAGTAGATAGTGGATAGAAATGTATATGCGTATTCACAAACGTACACAAAGTAGGACACATACAACTATCTGAAGACTTCTTGTTAACTCCATGAACTTTATGTAAACATGGATTATTCTTATTCACTGAACAAAATAAGGAAGGAATTGTGCTGCATATATCATTCTCACTTTACCAATCTTTCTCTTGCACTTCACAGAAATTACCGTATTTTTCGCCCTATAGGACACACTTTTTCCCCTCCAAAAATGAAGGGGAAATCTGTGTGCGTCCTATGGGGCGAATGCAGGCTTTCGCTGAAGCCTGGAGAGCGAGAGGCGTCGGTGCGCACCGACCCCTCTCGCTGTCCAGGCTTCAGGAAGCTATCTGCAAGCCTTTCGAGCCCGGGGGGAGTTCCCGCAGGCTCGCAAGGCTTGCAGGCGGCAGCCTGCAGCCCGAAGCGGCCTCCGGAGGACGCCCTGTGCTTCATGCAGCTGTCCGCAAGCCTTGCGCGCCCGGCGGGAGTTCCCGCAGGCTCGCAAGCAACAGCCTGTTCTGTGGGCTGGGGAAGCTTGGGCTTCCCCCGCCCCAGCCCCGCGGCTGGGGGGGAAATAATTTTTTTTTATTCATTTCCCCCCCCCCCAAAAAAACCCCCGATGTGCGTCCTATGGGGCCGGTGCGCCCTACAGGGCGAAAAATACGGTAACACAAAGATTTGAATCCTTCCACAGGAAGATAGCACTCACGAAAGGAGGTCTTCTGTGGGTTCAATTCTTCTTCTGTGAATAGCAATGCTTTCTCTATGAATGGAGCAAAGAGTTAGGATTCAAGTCATATTTCTCAGAAGTCTAATTTCTTTCAGTAAATAATCTTAATTGGGACTGAAATATAAAAATCATTAGCTCCAACAAGTATTAAACTGGAGTGTAGCTTATGTAATCATCCTAACAGCTTCTTTGCCTTTAAGCCACGGAAAATAAACTGGCCTTGTTCCTGTATACTGTTCAAGATGCACTCACAAATTGTGAATAACCTTAATGAAGTTTCAGACAGGCTGTCCATATGGAACAGATTCCAGAAACAGACTGGAACATTAACATTATAATATTGAATCCCTCAGTAATGTCATCAACATTTTAATGAAACCAGTTCTCATCTCAGCAGCCTCTGTGCAAAGATCTATGAGAAAGATTCCCATGAATGATAAGGGTGTTTGTGCAGTTTTTTTCTGAAATACATCAGTTTTGCTATTCAACTGAAGGGAGGATGGACCATTTGAGAAGACATGAGTTTTCACAGCTCATGGTTTATAAGCCAGACTTCTTGATATTTCACTAAAATTAAAACTCTAAAAAGTAGTTCCTTTTGATGAAAAAGATTATTTTAAAATAAAATTACAAAAAAAATCCTGCACAAATGAATATAATATGAATAAAAAAAGAAAACCAGATATAATCAGAAATGCTATTTTGGCTAGCTTTATCTGCTGGATTAGGATTTTTAAAGAAGAAAAGGTGTTATCCAAAATATTTTTCCAAAGCCATGTAACTGCTAGCATTACAGCCAATATTAGAAAGTGCAATTCTTTGCTATAAACAATTAATGATGGGATGTTCAGACATAGGATGCAGAAAGCCATTCAATACATCATTTAGAACTATGATTTCCCTAGAATGAGATACGATCCCCCTGTGGGCTGAGGACTTTGTGAATGAGCTGACAGGCTTCTAGCAGTGTTCGAGTGTCAGGCTGATGCAGTATAGGAGGTTAATGTGAATTCACCAGATCAGGAATTAGACTTATGGGCCTTGAACAGAGAGAGACCAAGTTCCATTAGTTCTTCAGCAAAATACAGCAGTGACTCCCAATTTGAACACACTTACATGCTGGCTGCAACAGCTAATGTGAGACAGGATGGAATAAGGTGACCTCAGAGAAGTAAAAACCCAGTGTTAGATGAAACATATTTATTTCTTTCTAAAGGCACCCCTATGCATCTTTTTCCAGTGTTGCAGAACTACTCTACCTCATGGGACAATCTTCTTTCAGCAGAAAATATAGAATTAGTTGAAAACTGAACTGGCTGCAAAGCCAAGTAATCAAATGGGACATTTGACCATGAAGCAAGAGGCATCACGCTTTTAATTCACCACATGCTGTAAGTTATTTTGGACAAGGGGAACTGGGGACAAACTAAACACAATGCTAAACACAATAATGTGTGCTTGACATTCATTTACTAAACAGGAGTTGCATAATAATAATAATAAATAAACTTTTATGTCTATCCCATCCTCCCCGGCTGAAGTCAGGCTCAGGGTGGCTAACATCGGTGTATGTATATATATAGAGAGAGAGAGAGGTAGAGCATGGGGGGACCGATCCAGATTGGGGCTGCAGTATGGGGAATTATCCCCCGCACACAATCATCAAGTACATGTATGAAGGCACCCCACTGCTGCTATTTTCCCCAGGAGAAGACTACCATTAGCATCAATTGTAGCTTCCTTCCTTGAGGAAATACCAGCCATAGGTGGCTATCCATACTGGGACCATGGCACAGACAAAAGGTTAAATCCTTCCCCTGCTCCCATTCCGGCCCTGCTATGGATGCTGTTCTGTCAACAAAAACAAGCACACAAGAACCAATCACATTGTACAGTTTGGTCCTGTGTCTCACAGATTTCAAAATCCAATTATGATTGGGCTGCAGCCGATTTCCTGACTTTCAGTTTGTATTTCAATATACAAGTAGGCGGGTTGTCCAAGGGAAAACAATGTATAATAAGGTACAGGCTTTCTCTGCACTGAGTGCAGATCACGGCACCAAGCTCAGTCCAGAACTTTTTGTGTCTGCCATGAGATTAGAGCTGTCTGCAGCAAGGCAACTTAAAACCTACAGTTCTTATGAGCTCACTCACTGTGGACTCTGTATTTACGGAAATAAGCATTGTTAATGAAAGCCTGAGCTCATTTACACCCCCCCCAAAGGAAAATTCTGCAAAAGCGAGAGAATAATTTGTGCAAAATAAGCACTTCAATTTGCAAAATAAGAGTTTTATTCCGTTGATACAGGAGCAGTCATTTTTAAGCTATCAAGGAATGCCTTGATACTGAAGAACCAAACCCAAAATGTATGCAATGTGGATGAATTTTTATCAACTCTGAACTGTGCTATCTCCCAACTTCACTATAGTTAGGGAACTAAGAAAACATTTTGCAATGTGGTGCTGGACGTAGACATAAAAGCTACACATTACTTGCAAACTCATCTAATAAAGCTCTGACAGTCTTACAAAAAAAACCCAGAAACGGCTTTAGAGTGGAATTATTTTGCACAGAAAGCAGGGGGAAATGGATGCTTAACTCTTTCACCACCATCTTTTTTTTTTTACAACTGAATTCCTCACTCAACTCAACACAGTATCTCCCTCATGGCGTTCCAGTTATGCATTTACCTTGCAAAGTATGTAATTTATCTTTGTGTGCTTAGCTTTGCAAAGCATTTAACCAGAACTCCACGGAGGAAAGGAGTGCTGTTTAGGAGAGTTAGGAGAGCTGCAGCAGAAAAATATCTAACATGCTTTGAGTTCCAGAAAAACTCAACCAACACCAACTGACATGGCTATAGTACATACATCTTCATGAAAGTAAAAAGCATCACTGTACCAAATAGTCAGTGCACACCGCAGGATTGCAGTAGATGGAAGTTGAAATACGTAAATGGGCAAGGAAAGACACTGGGTCAGAACGCAAGGCTAGTGATCCTTCCGCCAACCATAAGAACCAAAGCATCTAGTTTTGAACCTTTAATGGAAATTGCCTTTATGTTGTGCATTCATTAGTCACTTTTCCTAGAACAGACCCACAGAAATCATAGGACAAACCTGGTGTACTATGTGTCAACTTCATAATACTGTATATGGATTACTTATACTAACTTGAAACAATGATCTGTAGTCTAAAATAAATTGCTCAAAATGCTGCATCAAGATAATTTCCAAAACCAGGTGATATATATATTTGCTCAAAGGAAAGGTGATCTCATTCCATTTATTTTTATTTTTTTGTAGTTAAACAGTAGAATCCTAGACACTCAAACTAGGCTGAGCTTCAGCCTTTCAGGATTATAAATTTTCTTTAGAAAATTTCCCAATCCACAGCATTGATCAGGACAGCTTAACTATATAGAGAACAAGTGGTGTAGCTGGGTCTTAGAAAGGAATGCAATAATCAATCTATAGTGTGAATCTGCATTTCACATAACACCCTGTATCAGAAAGAATTATTAATAATCTCTTAAAAGTAAATTATCTTTGTTACAACAGCTAAAGCTTTCCAGTTTCAGAAATGATGGCCTAAAACAGCTGCATGTTCCCAAAATCACAAATACAAAGTCATTATAAAATATGTTGAATTGTCCATTTCTGCACAGCAAATGCACCTACGATCAGATACAACAATCTGCTAAAAGTGGTTTTCAAAACAATGCTCTGGAATTTTTTCCTGGTTATTTCATCATTGCACAAGCCTATTCAATCATGCAGAAGGGAAACCATGAAGAGGGGGTTTGGTTTCTTTTTTAAAAACTGTATTCTCTAACCCTCCCATCAAACACATATACCCCACATCAAACGGCTTTTAAAATTTACACAGCTTTTAGAGTTTATTGCAATACAACATGAGAAGATTGTCTTCTTTTGGGGGGTGAAAGGGGGAACAAGAGCCCTGCCAGGTTACAACTCTAACTACATGTTTATCTGGTGCATAATCAAGGCTGCATTTTAAAAGTGATTAATGTATTTGCATTGGCATTTAACTTTTGTCCTTTTCTCTATGGTTGAAAAAAAAGCTAACTTTCCATTCTCATTAACAAAGAGTTCTGCATAGCTCAAAGGCTGGCACACCTCACTCAGGGCAACAGGAATTGATGGAATTAAAAAAAACCAAACAACTTTGCCCCCTTATCAGTTATTGAAGAAACATCTAATCTCTTAGAAGTATCTCTCTTCCAACGCTTTCGAATTCTCACTATGCAATGAATAAAAGACCTGACTCACCTTTGGTCAACATGAGGTCAAGAGGTGCCTCTTTTGTTTTATAATTTAACTTGTCCTTCAAACCATTAGGGAAAAAGGAGCTTATGTAAAAATTGCTCCTTTTAAAGATAGGACATCACTAGACAATAGGAAGGAAATCTGGAGTTTTAAGTCTTCACTTAGGTCTTAAAACATGTGAGTGTACACATGCACACACACAAACTGTGCCTGCACAAGTCCTTCTGTTGTCAGTGTGATCTCACAAGCCACAATACCAAAACATAGCAGGCTGAGCAGGGAACCTTTTGCTCTGCCTTTGTTGGTTTAAGCTCAGGCTATAAACATTATTTTAATGCAGTATTTGTATTTCTTGGGACTAATAGTTCAGCAGTCTTGAAATCCTTTGTCTTCCTTGTTGTAAGAGGAATGCAGCATGCGGCACACGTTCCCCTTACAACAAGGAGGACAAAGGATTCAGTGATCAGGAGACAATTAGTCCCAATTAGGCCTATTTCGCAGCTGAGTGCAAAGGGTGGGGGAAGGGTGTTCACATTTTCAAGAAATATGTCCCTCTGGCAAGTTCCAGTGAAATCAATAAAGCTACAAGTCTGTTACTAGGCCTGCAGCTCACATACAAAACTGGGCTGAGTTTTACCAAGCCTCTGACATCTGGAGCTCTTTGAACACTATTCTGTCCAATAAACCATGCAACAAATTTTGGATTTTTTTGTTGTTGTCACCTAGTTCATAACAGGGATTGCCATAACTCGAATAATTCCACACCCATCATCAGTCCAGGGGTAGGTAACATGAACTTCCAGATCACAATTTATACATCCTACAGGCTAACATTTCAACTCTCCCCTTTCTGTTTTTTGAAAACGTTATCACAATAAATGTTAGAAGACTAGGAACAAGTAAAAAGAAGCCCAAATTCTTATTTTTCTACTCTCGTGATTACAAAGTCATCACAACTCTGATATGTTGACCTGATTTTCACTACCAGGAATTAGAAAACTATAAAATAGGTGTAAAATATATGCCAACTTTGATTTGGCTTCCAGAAAGTATGCATAATTGCAAGCAAATTATGGAACTCAATTACAGCAAAATATATGGTTGTTTCATACCTTGATAAAACAGCAAGGTGGCACTTAATTCTGAACAAGTTTTCCATCTGTAACTTCCACTACAAAGTTCAAAAATCAATAATAGTACTTACATGTGTACATGGGGAGGCTGGAACCTGCTCTGGTTAATGTTGTAGTGTGTGAACGCCTGGGTTGGATTTGAGCTGTATTCATCCACAGAAATGGTAACTTTGCCTTGTGAAGGAATTCCATGAGCCATCCTTTCTCTTTATAGACATGAGCAACTTACAACTTTCCAGAACAAAAGATGGGAGTGGGCATTGTGTTTCAGCCAACGACAGAAGCCAAATATCTCCTCATGAGCTCTGCAGACTTCTGGAAAAACAGAACAGTACAGAGATATTGATCAATTTGTAATGAGGGTTTTGAGTTCAGCCTAGCCTGTGATGGTTTCCTATGGAAATATGTATTGATCCATTCCTAATAATACTAGCGTGTAAACTCATTCTCTGAGTGTAGATCTTAATGTACCTGAAATGACACAATCTACATACAAAAGGGAGGTATCAGCCCGTCCGGGGAAACTCCTTGGTTGGCAGAAGTAAAGAAAAATCTTAAAGACAAAACCCTAAAGGTTGGAGACTTCCAAAAACACCCCCTTAAGGAATGCTGGCTGACTGCTGGGAAGTGGGTATGGAAAGCCGCTGGTGAAGGACAATATAATGGAGTATCTTGGGAAAGGGTATGGCTGGCTGCTGGAATCCTGAACAGTAGCAGTCCACAGGGCAACATATTGTTTCAGGTTCAACTTGTTATACCCACATGGTATGCTGTCACCATGCTTAAAGTACTTTACGACAGCATTTCTGTGACTTTGGAGGACAACACTGGCACCAAGTCTCCCTCTCCAACAAAGAAGACAGAGTTCTGACACCAGATATGGAGATTCAATGCCAATGCCACTGCAGAAGCATCTACAGCCCTGGCCCAACCAATGTTGGCGCTCCAGCTTCAGTAGGAACATGATAAGGGGTGAGCTGGGGAGGTTCAAGGATGTGCCAGGGAAGGTCTGGGAAATGGCTTAGATCCAAAGTGACATTTCCCTGACATGCACCCAGAGATTTGGAGACTAACTCAAGAACCTGCAAAACAGGCAGAGATGTGCAAGAGTTCTCCTCCAATCACACTTCTACTCTGGGCAGTTAAACCACCCTCAGATTACACTTGCACACAGTAATCTTAGTAATTTTAGAAGACTCAGAGGAATTTTACTTTAAATTAAAAAGATCAACCTCTTCATAAATGCAAAGAAATGTAATTGCAACTGTAAAAGTTTCTGATATTTTTCTAAACCCACAAACTTGAACGCCTTTGGTCCAACATTCTCTCATTCCTACCCCTCCTCCCCTCTCACCCTTCCTCCAAACATGCATACAGTTGTTTTGTTGGTTCTCCTAACCCACCATAAAAGACAGCTCATCTAACATTTCCATGAAACAAAACAAAAAGATTCACCAATTCATTTATAAGTACCGTATTTCTTAAATTTAAAAATGCTATTTTAGCAGCATTGCAACATATCCACGTCCCAAATTTTACAAGGTCAATGCTCAAGCAACAGGGGATATTTTAGTCTCAGTAGGACATGATGGAGCTGGTACAGGCAGTGTTTTTTTTTCCTGGGGGGGACACAGGGGGACGCATATCCCTAAACATTTTGTGAATTTAAGTTTGGCCTCATTGAGGGGCAGTATTTCAATATGAGTAGGAAAATGAGAGCACCCCTAAACATTTTTTAGAAAGAAAAAAACACTGGTAAAGGTATAGAAAAGGACAATCAAAGCAATCAAGTTGTTCAAGCAGTTTCTTGACAAGAAAAGGTTAAAGAGAATAAGAGTTTTCTTGTTTAGGAAAAAGAAACACTATTGATGTTCACAGGAAAGGAGTTTATAATGTTATGAACAACATAAAAGTAGTTAAAAGGTGTATTACAATACTAGAATCAGGCTCATCCAAAAATATTCACTGGTCCTGGGGTTAAGGCTAGCTAAAATTATGCATTCTAAATGCAGTGAATAACTAATGCATGATAGCTGAGGGTGTATTGTTATTGTTTGTTATTATAGTGTACATTTTTGGTTTTTTATATTATAAGCTGCCCTGTGATCTTCAGATGAAGGGCTGTATGGAAGTAAATAGATAAACAAAACATGTATATTCAGAGGCATTATAGCACAGAGGCAAAAACAAGGTATAGGGATGGTTATGCGTATCCGTAAGCATCTAGCAACCCATTCATGGTTACAAAATACTGGAGAAGATGGACCTGGAGATGGTCCATCCATCAAGCCAATCCGTATGGCCTAAACTAAAGAACGGGAGCTACAGAAGAAAGATTGCTTTCTACTATTCTGTATACCCTATCATTCCTAAATTTCCGTTCATTATTTAAGCCAAAGAAATGTATAAAAAAGCAGAAATGGACAGTTCTTTATGCTCAAAATCAATTATAATTTACTACTGTGAGTTATACACTTCCATTATTTAACACAACCTACATGTTTCTAGCCATTTGCTTCATTCCTTCTGGAATATCATTATTCTGGTCAAAAAATTAGTAAATGTCTGCTAGCCCTTTTGAATGTTTTAGCCATAAAGGGGCAACTCAAGTAGGAAAGAGCTGTGGATATGCCCCTTGAATGTCGTCGTCCTCACACAGATCCTTTGAGCTTTCCCATGCTGTAGTGTAACTTTTGCATTGAGGCCTTTTCTACTTGTGAAGGGTAACTAAGAACTCTGGAAGATCAGGATTCTTATTTACACTGGAAGCTCCACTAACAGAAAAGTCCCCGTCTATCCCCCCCCCCTTGAAGAATTTATATTAGAACACAGGGAAGCAGACAGGATGCATACAATGATAAAGGGCTAAAGGAATAACCCTACAACCCTTTTCTGCTTGTGTTGCCTCTTCACTGTTGTGGCACCAGAAGAAGAGTTGTGAAGCACTTCTAATCCTTCCATTATGTCAAACTGCTTTCTGCATTTGAAATCTCTCAAAATAATTCTGATTAAGTCTTCATCCAAAAAACCCCCTGCTATTCTAATGCACTCTGTGAGCACCTTCATTAAGTCACCAATTTCCCTGTTCCCTGGTGAGGTTGATGGACTTCCTTCCATTCCCTATCATTGACACAAATGTTTAAATCCCGTCTTGCCATTAGAAAAAAGTAGTTATGCAACCTTCAAGTATATGCTCATGATAAACTGAACGTGAACAGACTGAGCACAAACTTGAAAAGCAAAACTTGTAATTCCCACTCTTAACATTTTAATACCAAATAGATCTGAAATGGTTCAAGATAGGTTCCCCCCCTCCCCCAGATTTTGGTTATGATCCACCTTCTAGCGTATGTTTAAATCCAAACAGATAAATCGTTGTGCATTCTCAGGAATACCAAAAAAGGTAACACTTACATTCATATACCAGTACTTGCTGTTCCTATAAATTAGGTGCTTCCTAAAATTGATACAGAAGTATAGAAAACCAGTCTTTGTATTTACAATCAGCTATGCTACATAGAGGTGCTGCATTGTTTCTAAATAAAAATAGGACTTGCTAGATGTAAAATCAAATATCTGGAGCCTCTACATTGCACCAGTATTAAGATATGAACTGTAAAACCTGGTTCAGCACAAAATTCCACATAATGCCTTCCAAATAGCAGATGGCCTGCCATAGGCGATTTATTTTATTATTTTACAACCTCAGGCCTACATAGGCTTCCATATGTTAAGCAGGTTACGGAACCACACAACTTACTTTTTCAAGAATCAGGGTATTTCTTCATTTTGCATAACAGAAAAAGCAAGCAGGGAGAGAGCTAAGACCCCCATCAAGTGGATCTTGACCAAAATCTTTAGTATATTTCGCAGAGGGTATTCTTGGTCTTTGTCTCAAATTATTCGCTGGTTATATATATGTATATATAGGCACGGAGGACAAAATCGCTACAATTTGCTACATCAAATCTTTGCCCAGTTTGCAGTGTAAGATAACTGCCTACAAATTGTAATGAAGGAGCTTCCATACCAACTTTGCAGCTGTTTCCTTAATTTCCCCCACAATTATATTTTACTGTTATTTTGCATAACAGTAAAACACAACACCTGCTTCCAATTGCAATTCTGTTGTGAAGACTGTAATTCTCTTTTGAGATACTAACTATGAAGACAGTGTGCAGTGTGGAACTGCATAATTGCACTGCACTGAAAAGTAAATACAAATGAAAACATCTTCCTGTTAGAGAAATGACTGTCATTAAAAAGAATGTTAACCCTGAGAGCTTAGGGATTGGGGGAAAAGAACACATTTTGTATTGTTAGAGTTTTAGTCATTAGTTTTAGGTAGCAGTATTGAAATGGCATGGCCAACCACTCCCTCCCCGCAAAAGAAGATTCTGTTGAGTATAACTAATAAACACAGTATCATTATTTTTCTGGTTTTTTTGAAAAGATAAGCAACTATATTTTAATTAATTTAGTGCAGCCAAAAGGCAGTATTTTATATTCTGTAGCCCACAAAACTCAAGGGGAAAGAAATCAAACTTGCTGAGGAGAATAGTGTATACAGCCCAACCCATGATGAGTTGTACAATATTCAAAACTTTAGCTATGAGAAAAACAGTGAGCTAACTCAAAGTCAAAGCAGAATATTGGTAGGCAAACAGAAATCCTCATTCAGTTTCTCTTAAGATTTTTTAAATTAAATATTTCTTTATTTAAATTTTCAAGTATGTATACAAAGAAAACACACACAAGCCAATATAAAAGTAAGCAAAATATTACATTTCTAATTCTGGGGGTCTTCTTGTATTAAAACGTGGCAAATTTACACCACTGGCTTTTAAAATGTCAATCAGTGACTATCAAACTAGTAAATAAAGGTCACATATTATGTCTGAGCAGGCTGATCTTAGTTTCATTTCCCTTTCATTCTTTTCCAGTGCAAAACAGCTTTCATATTAGAAGTGTCTGATTGTGATCTGCTTTAATGAGGAGCTCTTTGAAGAAAATGTAAGGCAGGACCCAAGTACTTCAAAACTTTCGCTAACAAATTTATTAGCCTCCCTGTGAGGACTATAGTTCTTCCCTCCCATTGACACCAGTCATTAAGAAGATGGTGCATCCATGGTGGAATAATGGGGGGGGGGGTTTCTACACTGTTAAGCAACTTACTAATTTTAATGCTAGAATTATGCCAACAGAAGAACTAGCAAAATGCCATCTTATATTATGTAATCCTGAAAAACTCAGGGGGCAGCCTGTGAATAATGTAAGCACTGGTTGTGCAGTTGGTATGCTTCCACAATGGATAAATGTCACAAAGGCATTGAATCTGCTGATTTGATTTGAAGTCCATAAAAGACACAAAAGCAGGGCATCTATATGCACTGTATATAATCATTTTTGTCTCAGAATATAAAAAAATGGCAAGTATTTCTGGCATTACCAGGTCACCAGATTTTATAACACTGTTATAAACATGCACATTAAATGAAAGAAAATTAATAATCACACTCACAATTTGCACAGATGTAAAGAGAACAAATACTATTTGGGGAAGAGAGAACCCACTATTTTACTCCATCATTTGGAATATTAATTCCCATAGACTGGCTTTAGTTGAAGCAAGTATGGAAATTCATTAAGAATTAGAAATAAGGGAGAAGAGTTAAATAAGATACTGATGCTAACACTTCCTTCAAGATTTATATTCAACCTTTGTTATTCTCGCTTTGATTAAACTACACTCAATGTACAATCATTTACTCAGAAGTAAGTTCCACTGTTTTCAATGGAGCTTACTCCCTGGTAAGTGTTCTTAGCATTGCAGCCCAAGTAACAATTCAAGAATTTAAATCCATAAAGTCTTCAAGAAGTTACTCATGTAGGTGTCTGTTTAATATTTTCCTATAGCATCTTCTAGCATAAGTTTATCCAATCACTGCAAACTATATACAAGGCAGAACAAGATCCCCGTTTATACTCAACATTCCAGCAAACAGTGCATATATTTTTAATTTAACTATAACTCATTATCCATTCTGCTCCTATCTCCAGGTAGGCTTTTTCCTTTCCTTTTCCTTTCTGAAGAGGGGTGCATAAAAGTTGTATATCAAATGAATGTTGGAAAGATAAAATCTTATCTCCAACACATGACTGATAAATGAAACCAAACCTGTTTTCCATTCATAAAAAAACCTGATGCCACACATACAGAAAGATGGAGAAAGAGAGGAAAGAATCCATGTGGACCCTTTCTTCTTACAGATGAAATCCTTAGAACAAACTCCATCCCCTCGGTTGAAATGATCCATTTCCCAAGGCACCTTCAGTTCAAAGGTGCACAGCAGCAAACAGGAACAATAAAAAAACAACAACCAGGTACCAGTTTGCACACACTACCTCCTCGTGGCAGTCAGTCCGTGCCCATCTAAGCGGTGCTGGGCACACTTTCTCCCCCCTTTTCTCTGGGCAACTCTCCCGGAGAGGTGGCAGCACTCCTCTGAATCCACGCTGCGTGTTGGGTCTGCTTCCTCTCTGCCTCTCTCATTCCCTCTTTCCCCAGTGCTCGGAATGATTGATCACAATCAGCGGCCAATAGCTCTGACACCGCACCATCCTGGCTCTCCCCCCCCCCCCCTTTTCCCAACGTCACTCATCCCAACCGATCTCCCCCCTTGCCACTCAAGCTGGCATTCTAACCTAGCTCAAATGCATTCAAACTCTCCCTCGGAAAGCGCCACATTTTTACAACTGCTTCATTGTTGTCGCCCCCCCCCCGCCCAGATCCCGTTTTTTAATGTGCATGGTTAAAGTTTTCATCCTCTTTTCTCTACAGTAGCTGTAACATCCCCCCCTCCCCCGCACAAGATACACCGCTTCTTCTCGTTCACATTTCGCACTCAAACTACAATACCTAGCAGGAGGTGGGTTGCTTTGGGCGAGGGGGGGGGGAGGCGAGGGGAAACTACGAAATCATGCAGCAAGCCGGGTGGGGTGGTAAATTTACAACTCGTGGGTGATTTCATATTTCTCTTCTTTCCAGCCTCCCCCCCCCTTTCACCCCACCCCAATAAAATGTCGAAAGGTTTCCAAGTGCCCTTAGGCCTCGGGGGTCATTGATTTCCAAGCCTGTTGTGAAGCGAGAAGGGGGAGAGAAAGAGAGAAACGTAGCTGCCTTGCATGTGAAAGAGACATGGGGAAACTCCAGCTCTTGAATAGTAAAGAAACCCATTTGCAATCGTTACTTTTTTCCCCCTCTCATTTTCTTTTGCTTTGGGAAGGGGTGGGTGGGTGAGAAAATGCAGAGAATAAGGCAAAGGGGGGGTGTGACAAACACGTTTCTGTGCCCCCCCCCGTCCCCACACCTTCCTCCTCCCCGCCAGCCCCACGTTTCAGTTTTTCCACGCTAACTGTACTTTGCATTTCACTCCCTCGATCTGCCGCCTCGCCTCGCTCTCTCCCTCGCGCAGCACAATGCTCCCTTTGGCCTACCCTCCCCCGGTCGTGCTCTTACATTATAACCCCGATCACCCGAGACTCTCTAGTAAACAGCCAGCGAATTAATCTCCGCTGCCAAATCTATTCCCCAGCCGCTGCCCCCCCCCACTCCGCAAGACAAGAAATTAACGCAAAAGCGGGGGGGGGGGCAGAAGGAGGAGGAGGAGAAAGGTGGGGAGCACTAGAAGCACCGGGGTTGAGGGGGGGTGGAGAGAGAAAGAGAGGAGGAAGAGAAACAGACACCCGCGCAGAAATTAGCCTTCCTTCTGAAACAACAATTTAGAATAAAATCACAATCATAACAATCCAGCTCTCTGCCCGCGATCGCTTTGGCGAGTGGCAAATCAGCAGCCCGTTTGAATCTGATTATTGTTTGCCCTCTCTGATCCCCTTGTACTTGTACATGACAAGGCACCTCTAACCCATGGCTTTGTGTTTTGTTATTAGGAATTTTCTCCCTCTCGCTCCCCCTTTCTCTCTCTCTCTTGGTCCTTCTTCTTCTTCCATCTGATCCCTCTCTCCCCTTCTCTCTGCTCGGGGCGGATGATTTACCTTCTCTCCCTCTTTTTTTATTTTTCCTGGATGTTGATGTGTGTTCCTAGGGATGCCTTCAGTGCTGGGGAAGGAGCCGATCCATGAGGAGGAGGGGAGGAGGAGGCGGATGGTGCCGCGGAGCTGTGTTGCGAGAGGGCGAAAGAGCGAGGCAAGGCTTTGCCAAAGGTTGACGGCTGGTGCAAGGCAGGGCAGACACCTTCGACCCCCGAGGGTCCCCGGAGTGGAAAGGAGAGAGGCGGACGCAGGCAGGAGGAAGGAAGGAAGGAAGGAGGGAAAGGGGAAGGAAGGAAGGAAGAAAAGGGAGAAGGAGAGCAGCCGCGATCTGGGCTGGAGAGCGAGAAAGAGAAAGAGGGAGAGAGGGAGAAATGAAGGGGGAGAGAAGGAGGAAGAGAGCGGAGGAGTGCAGTGAGTAAGGACTGCCACTGGGGTCAGGGAGCAGAGCACCAGGAAACAGGGCGGCCAAGGCGCTCGCCTCTCTCTCTCTCTCTCTCTCTCTCTCTCTCTCTCTCTCTCTCACACACACACACACACACACACACACAGCCACACACGCATAGGCTGCCAGCTCCTCCTTGCTGCTGCTGCTTACTTCACTCTCTTCTCTCTCTCCCCCCCCCACCCCGCAACCTCAAGCCAAAAAGGAAGGCTAAGGAGGGAGAGCATCCCCTGCCAAATCGCAGCAAATCTCTTGCCCTCCCCTGAAATACTAAATTGAAGAGGAATGCAGGGTCACGGGAGACCTACGGCACTGCATGCTGGAGTGCCCTGCAAAACCTGAGTACTGTATTCCTCAATTTCTTCAAGCCTTGTGTCATCATCATGGTCATTAGTATAGGGGGTTATTTTCCTCTTTTTTAAGAAAGAAACGAGGCACTCCCCCAAAAAGGTTTCACGATATAGGGGTAAAAAAATTAAGATTAGGTGACGGGGAAATTAACATACACCAAGCCTAAATAAATGTATGTAAGAAAGTATGGGAGTTCCATCTCACTGACACCATCAATGCATCTATATGAAGACAGGTCCCTTTGACTCTGTACGTCTGGGGTGTACAAATTCAAGGAGGTGTGCACCCCCATTTGTTTTATTATAATAATAAAAGAAATGAGAGCCATCGCACTTCCACAAAACCTGAACAGAAAGGTTATTACTAGGATCAACTACAAAGAATCAGGAACCTTTTGAGTGTGCGGAAGGGGGGGGGGCGGAACCACCTGTAATAATTATTGTATCTCCCTTTTTTTTAAAAAAAATGCCTCATTGCTGAAGCCGGAGAAAATTTCCAATGTTTTTTCTGCAGAACGATTTGCAGTACGATCCTGCTGAGTGTATCAGTCAGAAGTAAGTCCTATGGTCAAAGGGGCTTACTTCCAGTTAGGATTGCAACCTAAATCTAATTTGTTGGGGAGCGGGGGACAGAATCAGTCAAATCTGGAAAAGAATGAGGAATATCGAATCATAGAATTGTACAGTTGGAAGAGACTTCGATGGTCATCTAGTCCAACCCTCTGCAATGCAGTGCAGGTCACAATAAGTGAGCAGGGCGAACCAACCCAAAACGATTTAAAAGCAATGAAGAGAAAATATCATTTAAACTTATTGAACTATGTTAATTGGGTGAGACATAGTATCACGCCCCCCACCCCAATACAACCAGAACACTTCGTGCTAACTTTGTATTTCATAAAAATTTCCGGGGGGGTGCATATATTTCTGATTGTGAGGATATAATGGGAGAAAGCCTCTGAGAAGGAATGGGGAGGGAAACGCTCTCACGCATGCAACACTAAATCATATTGTAATATAACGTTCAAACTAGGCCAGCTAATTATTTTTTTCAAAAGAGTCGAACACGGTTTGAACACATTCAATTTTTCCTGTTGCTAACCTGATTTTTCAGGTTTTTGCTGTTTTCAAAACCTATTTGCACAGATGTGATAGTGGTACTAAAAAAAGGTGAGTGTGTACTCAGTGATCTAAATGTCTCTAGAGCTAGTTTCTATACTCTAAAATCTGTTACCTTTCTCTAACTATAATGTGACATCAAAAAGTATTACTCTCTCTCAAAAACTCCCCCCCCACACTAATAGTTATTTTAAATTTTCATACATTTGTTCCTCATTTATTTTGCAATAATTTAAAAAGGAGGAAACACTGCCCTGCTAAGAACTATGCACAATACTCATGACAAGTAAAGGGAGATTTAAGTTAAGAAAATTTAACTTAACAAAATTTATGGATGGTTAAGGTAAAGTGCCAGGTAGTCCGCTAAATTAATAAGATATCCACAAACAATTTCATCTGTAAGCAAAACCAAGCTTTGTTGAAATAATTAGCAGAAATGTCCTACAGAAAAAGCACTGTAAAATAAAAATAAAAAATCTCCCCATTGTGGTTGTTTTAATATAAAAAGCTTTGCATCCAGCTCTTCTTGTACAAGTGGGATGAACCTCTGCTCTCTTTTAGAGTCCCATGTGCCCTCGAAATCGGCTCTAGGGGTTTGGGGGACTGCCCTATAGTTTTAGTTGTAATTGTGAGCCCTCTTCACCCCATTAGGCTGAATGTGTGGAAGCAATCATCTAGATTTCTTAATCCAGCAGGATGTATGTACACACCCTAACACCACCACCACCACACACACCCACACACCCAAAATTGTAACAATGCAATCATATCTAGGTGCAAGACTGCTCAGTCACCCAGCTTGTCGGGCAGATCCCTGCGGAATAAAGGAAGGAGTCCAGCCACCAACCGGAGCAAATAGCTGTAGACCAAAGTTTATTGCGCAACAGGTTTAAAGAGGAATTTTGAACCCCAAGGATGGGGTGACAAGGACTTTTTAAAGTTTCTATCTTATCCCAGCATACACTTCATTAAGCATCATCACTACGTCTTTGCTACATCAGAAAAGGGGAGGGTTATACATGATTAACATAGGAGGAATGTGTTGGGCCAACAGGCGTATACAGGATATGTATTGGGAAGTACATTCTAAGCACCTACCACAAAGGGACAATAGAACTTTGGTTTGCATAGTCTGCCACCTGGGCAAGTCCGGAGGAGTGCCTTTGCCCAGTGATTGACACCTATGAGTACCTTCCTGTGAGTATGTGACCTCCCGCTTGAGGGATTATGGCGGGGACCAAGTGGTTTCCAAGTCCTTGGCCAATGAAGCAAATTGGCTGTGGAATGAAGGAAAGTGGCAAAGGAGTTGATTTTATATGATTTTTAAAGCTAGGTAACCTCCCTGAGCTGTCAAGTCGAAAGAATACATTTATGCATATTTGTAACATTTAACAACTTTAAAGATGTGCCCCGCCCCCCCGTAATTTCAGTAACAATATACAAGGGTACTGAGAAGTCCCGCTGAGTAGTAATTGCCAGGTAAGTGGTATAAGAAACGTACTCTGGATCTATCCCATAGAACAGAACATGCACAGTACAATCCTATGTAATCTAACACTCCCCAAGTACACATGCAAAGAATGGCACTGTAAGACTCTTAATTTAAAAGTCACCTGTCAGATTGAAAAGGTAAGTATAATATATTCATGGATCTGTTGACATTCAAATAACAACCAGAAGCTCAAATCAGGTTCAAGCTAGACACTGCAGATAAGGGACTATTCTTGTATAAAAGGCTCCCCCTCTCTGTAAGGAAGATAGCCAAAGGGACAGCAGTGAGGAGGCTGGTGAGACACGAGATAATGAGTCAGGATATTTTACTGAATTATATCTTGCTTAAGAAATGTATTGTTTGAAATGTTGTAGCTATATTATGTATGGTTTTATTATATATGTATTTTATTCCCATCTTCTACCCTTCATTATGTTTTCCCTTTCATTGTAAAAAATAATAATGGGCCAGATCACAATATGCATAGTAGCACAATATTTATAACAGCATAATTTCAACAGCGTAATATTGTCATTCAATGAAAGAATGACAAAAAGATGCACATTAGCATCTAAATCCAGTTCAACCAACCCTTCATCGCACATTACTTCATTATATATTAATAATTACTATTAATGATTACTATATGAATTATTATTAGATTTGTTAGATGTGCTAGTGCTGAATTTGTTGCAGATTCGTATTATTTTATTATTTTACCTAGCAGCTTACTATTGCTACTACTACTACTACTATTATTATTAATAATAAATATTACATTTATACTTCACCATTCTTCCAAGGAACTCAAGATGGCATACAGGATTCAAAACCAGTCTGTGAAGTAGCCTAAACTGAGAGACAGTGATTGGACCAATGCCACCCAGTGAGCTTTATAGCTGAGCAGAGATTTAAACCTTGGTTTCCCAGGTCCAGTTCCAACTCTCTAACCCATGGGTAGGCAAACTAAGACCCAGGAGCAGGCCCAATCACCTTCTCAATCTGGCCTGCAGATGGTCCAGGAATCAGTGTGTGTTTACATGAGTAGAATGTGTCCTTTTATTTAAAATGCATCGCTGGGTTATGTGTGGGGCCTGCCTGGTGTTTTTACATGAGGAGAATGTGTGCTTTTATTTAAAATGCATCTCTGGGCATAGGAATTTGTTCACCCCCCCCCAAAAAAATATAGTCTGGCCCCCCACAGGGTCTGAGGGACAGTGGACTGGCCCCCTGCTGAAAAAGTTTGCTGAGGCTGAGGCCTGCTCTAACCATTACACCACAAATAAAATAATGATTTTACTGATTTTACTCAACAGTTTGGATTATGTAAACTGGGGAAAATTTATTTTCTATTGGCAGTGACAAAGATTTCTATGTTCTGAGATGCAAACCTGCTGCACCTATCAAAGAAGCAGGAAACCTTACTGGAATTGGAATGTTCTGAACTCTCTCCATCTAGGCTCAGGTTGCCTATACGTGTGTAAATAAACCATATATCATAAAGACACCACGGTCTCCACTATGCCTCATTTCCAAAGGAAACACAAACTCTGGGTAAACGCCTGGATCCCTGGAATCTTGCACTGCGCATGGAGATTGGGTGGGGTATAACAATATTTTCTTAGGAAGCAGAAGGCAACTACAATCAATCTAATAGCCAAAATTGATTATCTGTTCCCTTCTGAGCCGACCAGAAGTTTCAGGTGTAGCAACACTATATCCAGGTCCTGGTTTTTGCCCTTTTTATACTTTTCCCAGATATAGTCTGTAACTGAGGGAAGGGGGGGAAAACTTGGTCAATTCTATAAATGAACTGGACACACAAAAGATAAGGTCAAGAAGGAAAAGGGCTCAGAGAAGCCTTGAGAGCGAGAGAGCACTACTTGTGCACCTAGAAGTGCTTTCAATTAAGAAAATAATCAAGGACAGAAATGGTAGCTATTAGAACCCTGGGGGGGGGGGGGAGAAACCACATTTATTGCAGTTTCACATTCTGAAATACCACCCTCTATATCTTCATTTGAAATATCAGCTGCTGCATCAGATGGGCATTAGTCCGTGAAAGCATATGCCACAATAAATGTGTTCGATTTAAGGTGCTACAAGACTTTTCTTTCCTTTTTTTGATAAATGTAGGGTGTGGTTTTCTAATGTGTGTAACCCTACCGCCCTCAGATGTGGGGGAAATGTTGTATAAACTACTTCCTACTCAAGGAACTTCCAGATTTAAGGAAAGAATCCAAAACCCATCGCTGTTCCTCATATAGGAGTTAAACTCCTTTCAGGATGTGACTTTTGCTCCCTAACCAGAGAGAGATGCTGATGCTGATGGAACAGTAAGAAGGAACAGTAAGAAGTAAACGGCGGCAAGAAGAAAGTCTCCCCAGATATCCTTTGGGCCTTTTCTATTCACTGGGTCCGAGCTCTTTCACAGGATATTGGTCATCTGCCGCTTTGCTCCTATTAAATTAAATTAGGTAGCTGATTGGAACATCCCCATTTGGCCTCCCATAAAACAACACAACTGCGTTCCGTGTGCTGCTCTGGTGCCGGTTCGCTGGAGCAGCTTCGTCACGCTGGCCACGTGACCCGGAAGTGTCCGCGGACAGCACTGGCTCCCGGCCTCTAGAGTGAGATGAGCGCACAACCCTAGAGTCTGTCAAGACTGGCCCGTACGGGCAGGGGTACCTTTACCTTAAAACAACACAAAAGGAGCCGGTGAGGAGACAACATTTGGGATTTTCAAACGTTTACCTCAGTACTCTGCACATTTAATTAAGCAGCCATCTCTATTAGTTCTACCACTTCAAGATAATTTTCTGTGGTATAATGTGAAAAAACTGCCAGTCAAATCAAACTAATCGATAGATTTTCATTAAATAGTCTAAATAAATATGTAAGCCATAAAACTGAAAAGCTTGACATCTGAATTCCATGCATGAATATACTCCCTATTCAACTGCAATCATATATTTACACACACACACAAAATATTCATATACCTTGATTTTGCCACTCAGTGTCCAGCCTCGCTACAATACACATCCTATAAAGTATATCCATATTTAGATGGAAACAATGACATACGGTTTTTATGTAGAAACTCCAAAATACACAGTTGGGCAATACCTTGATTAGGACCAATCAAAATGTCACAAAGTAGTGGCAAGATCTGAGTTCTTCAGAATCAAGCAAGATGTTGCACAAAGCACGGCTGAGCTTTTCATGCAAGTACTGTATTCAGAATTTATTATTATCTTTTAACCAATGTGTCCCTTTCATTTTTAAGTTACATCGATAGAAAAGCATTTTCTGCTTCCACATGTGGTTACGACTATTCTAAATTTGTATCCATCAGCAAAAAATCCTTTTTGTGACAGTTAAATGCTGTTAGACCCAATACACTTTACCAGCATTTAATTATTTGTAACAGGATAACACTGTTGGTGTTACCATTTCTACAGTGTTCCCTGATGAATTTGAAGGGACGCATTTTCTATTATTCCTGCTGCTTTTCCCTTCCCTTGGAAACATCTAAGCATATCCCCTTCCCACAAGAATCCAATTTCCCTATACAAAAGGGAGCGGCACAGCTTGGACACAGGTTAATTTCAGTCTTTCCCACCTGCCCACATTGCTCTTAAAATCACTCCACCCCACTGTTTTATAGGTATTTGACTTCTGGCCCAGTTTTCACATGGTTTTGACACCACCACATTTAGTTTGGGCCAAAAAGAAACAGGCTGTACCGATATTTTGTACCTTTAGTGCTTTTACAACCGGTCACAGACAATGCAAATTGCCTTTGTTTATGGAAGTAAACTTTAATCACTGCTACCACTGGTAACGTCAGCTGATCTTGTAAAACTTTAATGTCTGAACAGTGCAGTAACTCCTGCCAAATCGAGGTAATATAGGAATATTAGGCAACATGATGTAACGACCGGCAAGGGAAGACTTGCCTTGATCAAGAGCTGAGTGAAGTCTAGCTGCTCAGCCCTACAACGTTCCCTCAGAGATCCTCAGTGGAAGCTGTTGCCTGGCAACTGCCATCTGCCAGCAAGGGAAGACTTGCCTCCATCATGGGCTGCGAGACTTCTAGCTGCTTGGCTCCACTTCTTTGCTTCAGGAGGTCCTGAATGGGAGCTGTTGCCTGCCAACTGCCAGCAAAGGAAGACTTAGTCTGTGTGCGCACTATACCTTTAAAGAACATTCAAAGCACATCCCCTCCCCCTCACAGTAGTTAAAAGTTGCTGGGAAGAGTAACTTTCTGTGTGTGGGGGGGTAAACTACAATGCCCAGAATTCTTTGAGGGAAAGAATGTGCTTTAAAGATACTGTGCGTATATAATACAGCCTTAGCTCCACCATGGGCTGACTGAGGTCCTCACCTCAGAGATCCCCAGTGGGCTTGCTGCCCAAAGGTACAAAGGAAAACAAAAAACAATGTCAAATATGTCCTACGTCTGAACAAATCTGGCCCAACGTTGTTTCTGATCATATGTGCAAATCTTTTTGAATGCGATTGTATTCTGCAGATTCTTTACAAGCCTTTTTGAAAACCTCCTAAGGCTATAAAGAGGGATATAATTCTTTCATACCCTCCAAACCAGGACACCTGTCTTCCCAACAGTGCTCCTGCGCAAGTCATGTGACCTACACAAGATCACAGAGCCCAAAATACATGGGGTTTTTTTTCAGGGCTGTGTTCTAAGGGTAGCAAAACACACATGTTTTGGGGTGCTGCACAAGATCACAGCCCCAAAAAAGCTTTTTTGGGGAGAGTGAGATCTCAGCACAAAATCGCACCAGATCAGAACAACTTGAATGGCCACCAAGCTTTCGTGGGGGTGGGGGAATGGGATGTCCCTGTTTTTCTGAGACACTTGCAGTGTATGTTGTATTTTCAACTTTTCAATACTCATCTCAGCAGCATGAAGGTATTTCTCAGGTAGGGCTTGCCTGATACAGAGCAGCAAATGGCACCCGCCCCAATTCCTCTAGTCAAGGTACATAGTACCAAAGACTAGTCAATTTATTTTGGTACTTTAATTCAAGTCCCAATGAGAATACAACAGTAATAAATCTGAACATGCACTGCTTTTTCATGACTCCGAATCAGTTGACTAAGGCAGCCACCTCGCTTGGCCTTTGGTAGGGTAGCGCCGAATGCAAAGAATGCTATAATGTTAGTGACCTTCCATGCTATTTGGCTGCGGCTCCAACCTGGTGGAACGCTCTGTCACAAGAGACAAGGGCCCTGCAGGACTTGACATCTTTCCGCAGGGCCTGCAAGACAGAGCTGTTCCACCAGGCCTTTGGTCAGGGCACAGCCTGACTCCCTCCTTTGGCAATCTTTACAAAACTTTCGTTTATGGTTGCCATCAATTTTGATTTTAATTAATTTTTATAATGTTTTTATAATGTTGCACTATTTTAGTGTTGTTAGCCGCCCTGAGCCCGGCTTCGGCTGGGGAGGGCGGGATATAAATAAAATTTATTATATTATTATTATTATTATTATTCTCCATCTCTAGTACCTGCACTTTCTCAATATTAGTAGCTGAAAGGCATTTCTGTGTATGTGCAAAGTAAGAGAAATCTTCATTGAAACAACGAGGCAAATTTGTTCAGTCTGAATCTCCGTATTGCATTTATTCCGTGTGTAAAGTCCCTGGCCTTGTCAGTGAGACTTTCACATGGAAAACATGTCCAGGTTTACATCTGGCAGAAAAGTAATGTCGTAGTAGCCCAGAAGATTATTTTAAGGCATATTCTCGTGGTGAAGGGAGGGAATTTACCCTTGCAGTCAACAATTGTCAACTTAATCGGTCCCTCTGGACTAGACTTGGAAACTGATGTGACTGGGATTTGCAAAAGGCAGGCAGATCACAGTTCAGCTATAATTCATCCGACTCTCTACAATCTTAATTGAAAATGTCAGCCTGAGGCTCATATCCAAAACAGTTACATGGAAATGAGGTCCAATTCTAATATTAATTTCTAATAGGAAGTAGTTATCAAGAGGTGACTTTCTGCTCCTTTGAGCAGTGAGCATTGCTTGTGCTATTTGTATATTTCAGTTCATGTCTGTGGTTACCAGTGCATCCTCAGACACCCCTGTGGCACTCACCATGGGTCCCTGTTCCTCCCTATTTTATTTTATTGTTTTCTCCCTTTCTGTTGTTTACAGGAAAGTTGCCTTTTGGTGGTGGTGGAGTGCCTGTTTTCTATGTTTTACATGCTTTGGAGGCCTGTAGGCATGTTACCTGCTGTTTGGATAGAGAGGTCTGAACATCACCAGCTTTTATGTGAATTGGGTATTTTGTGGTACCCACAACAGTTAGATTTCCAGATGTACCCCCACCCAGGCCAAAGAAAAGTTGGGGAGCTCTGGTTTATGTAGTGAGGTCTGATGTTTGACATGTCTTGAAAAAGCAAATTTCAATTTTCTCTAGCACCCAGCAGTAATAGGAAATGCCACATCAAAAATAAACCTCAGGATTTGGGCGTGCATTCTGTGTTACCAAAGCCTATGAAATGAAGAGCCTAACATGTTGAGTAGAAATAAGTTGCACTGAAATCAGTGGGAAGTTGAACTCAGTGGCCAAATCATCTTTTTCTTTTTCTTTTTCTTTTTAAAATAATTTTTATTAAAGTTTTAAACAACAAAGAAATAAAAGAAAAACATACACAATACATATAACAAAAACACAAAGAACAATAAAAAACAAAAGCAAAATTCAACAATAAAAATACAAAAAACATAACAATTTAAAAACAGTATCTCTGTTTCATTTCCGTTTTTTAGTTGCTTATTTTCTGGACTTCCTCATACCTCCCTCTTTTGTATTCCAATCCAAATTATTTGTCCAGCAGTTTCTTTTCCACTTTTTAATCCCAATCTTTAATTTGATAAGATATTAAAATATATAACTTCAACTTCTTTAAACCTAATCCTTGGTCTTAATATCATATACCATTAAAATTTTCCCTCATAATATCAAATTTCCATTTCTTTAAACATCTTTAATCTTATTCTTTAATCTTAGTCTATCATTAACTTTAACCTATACAGCTGGAAACCTCTTGTTTTCAGTCCAACATCACTCTAACATTCCTTAATTTTGCAGTGTTTCTGAAGATAGTCTTTGAATTTCTTCCAATCTTCCTCCATCGACTCTTCTCCCTGGTCACGGATTCTACCAGTCATTTCCGCCAATTCCATATAGTCCATAAATTTCATCTGCCATTCCTCCAGCGTGGAAGTTCTTGTGTCTTCCAATACTTTATGATGAGTATTCTTGCTGCTGTTGTTGCATACATAAAAAAGTTCTGTCCTTTTTAACACCATTTGGCCGACTATGCCCAGGAGAAAGGCCTCTGGTTTCTTAGGGAAGGTATACTTAAATACCTTTTTAATTCATTATATATCATTTCCCAGAAAGCCTTAATCTTTGGGCACGTCCACCAAAGGTGAAAAAATGTACCTTAAGTTTCTTTACATTTCCAACATTTGTTATCGGGCAAGTGATAGATTTTCGCAAGCTTGACTGGGGTTATGTACCACCCATATATCATTTTCATAATATTCTCTCTTAAGGCATTACATGCCATAAATTTCATACCAGTGGTCCATAACTGTTCCCAGTCAGCAAACATAATGTTATGTCCAACGTCCTGTGCCCATTTAATCATAGCCGATTTTACCGTTTCATCCTGTGTATTCCATTTCAGCAGCAAGTTATACATTCTTGACAAATTCTTAGTTTTGGGTTCTAACAATTCTGTTTCTAATTTGGATCTTTCCGCCTGGAAGCCAATTTTCCTGTCCACATCTTTTTCTGCACTTGTTAAAGCAGTTCTTTAAACACCCATTTTAAAACTTGGAGGGGGAGGTAGAAACTAATTCAGTAGGGAAAAATGAGTGTGACAAAAAAAAACCCACAACTGCAAGAAAGCACACATTACAATGTGCTAGTTCTTGGGCAGGCATTAGTCTCTCTTAAAGCATAGTCTAAATCTTTAGATTTTCATTCCATGTTAGTGTGTCTTGAATTGTTTGTATAACTACTGTATGCTGAAAATTTTGTTTCTGAAGCATATGGTTAGACCCACTGAACACAAAAGAAATTTCATGTGATTAAGAATTTACATTAAGTTTAGGAAAATACCTGAATTTGACAGGTTAAAATAATTAATAATATAAACTGAGTAATGTTAAAGTGCAAACTAAGAGGACAATGTAACATTTATGCACAGTGAAGTTCCATTTCAGTTTCAATAAAAGAGTTAAGCACACACATAATACTCTCTCTCTCTGGAATTAGAGGGACATTGGTCACATCTGAATGAATAATACTCTACATAAGGTCTCTGATATTTTACTTTTGCTGGCTAATGGTTTGATTCTCTTTTGTCCTTTGAATGATTTTTTGTGAACAATAAAGTATGTTTATAAAGTATAAATTAGTTTTCCAAAACTAATCTGTATGTCAATATTTAAATCAAGCTGTTTACATCAGAGCAATACTTACATTGATTTATTAAAAGGGTATTCTTATAATTACCTTTTTCATATTGGATTACTTCGCACTTTCTTTTGGTTCTGTACTTAGGAATGTGTTTAGCCTGAATTTTGTTCTAGGTGCAGACCTCACAAAAAAATGAAATAGTTTGGTAGAACTGAAATGATCTTTTGATGGTTTCCCACACTGAGCTGAGGATTAAATTTTAAGCAAGGATTGCATGTGGCACTTGGGATAAGGAAGTAGACCTGCATACTTCTAGGCTGATTTCAGATAGAGACTTGTTAGGTACTGTGGAACAGTGAGAGAACTATGCTGGTACCCAGGTACTAAGCCATGGGTAGGCAAACTAAGGTCCAGGGGCCAGATCTGGCCCAATTGCCTTCTAAATCCAGCCCGCAGACGGTCCGGGAATCAGTGTGTTTTTACATCAGTAGAATGTGGCCTTTTATTTAAAATACATCTCTGGGTTATTTGTGGGGCATAGGAATTTGTTCATTATTTCCCCCCCAAAATATAGTCCGGCCCCCCACAGGGACTGAGGGACAGTGGATCGGCCCCTGCTGAAAAAGTTTGCTGTTAACTAAGCTCTCCCTCAGAGACACTTATTGTGTGCCTGCCTGTGAAGTCAATCAAGCTGACAGACACAAGAGACAGGTCCTTTTTTGTGGTAGCTCCTAGAACCTCACACTCTCTTCTCTCGGAGATGTGCATGGCCTCAGAATTTTAGATGAGTTTTAAAAATAAATATTTTGGAAACTGCCTTTCCCTAAAGGCTTTTGCTACAGAGTTTAGATACAAAATAAGCATTTGTTTACTTGTTGTATTATTCGTTGTAAAGGATACTGTGAGGGGAGTGAGTGGCGCTGTGGTCTAAACCACTGAGCCCCACAACAGGGTGAGCTCCCGTTTTTCGGTCCCAGCTCCTGCCAGCCTAGCAGTTCGAAAGCACGCCAGTTCAAGTAGATAAATAGGTACCGCTGTGGAGAGAAGATAAACGGCATTTCTGTGCGCTCTGGTTTCTGCCACTGTGTTACATTGTGCCAGAAGTGGTCTAGTCATATTAGCCACATGACCCGGAAACCTGTCTGTGGACAAACGCCGGCTCCCTTGGCCTGAAAAGCGAGATGAGTGCCGCACCCCATAGTTGCCTCTGACTGGACTTAAACGTCCAAGGGTCCTTTACCTTTTACCTTATTATTCTTTGTAACCATTTTAATTGGTCTTTCCAATAATTGCTAATGCTGCTGCCTTTATTGCTTTTGGTTAGTTTGGAACATTGTATTTATTGCGTTTTTAAGCAATCAAGAAAGGGAAGGTTTCAAGGCCTTTCCACGTGTTCCCTCTGAGCACCAAACCAGACTTGATAAATGTGTGTGTGTTTAACATGCTGTTTTCTTTTTTTACAAAAAATGCAAACTGCATCAGCTGGAGGGGGTTATAATTAACAGGATCAGAGCAGGCAGGTACCAGGTGGATTTAACCTTTTTCTACCATACAGCAGTCCTGAGAAAAATCCCTTTTCTGAAGCTGGCATTTATTTAGTGAAGAAATTCCCCAATTGTGCCCACAAGTCCCTTTTCAATTACAAAAATATCCCACCTGAATTTAATCAATGGGTGGTGTGAAGGTAAGGCAGAATAGCTGTTTGTCACGTATATTAACCTTTAAGGTACTGTTGTACCTGTCTGTCTATCAGCCTACTTGTGGACAAATCTTATAAAAATGGGGAAATATCCTTATCCTTTTATATCGTTTAAGCTCTGGATAGTGTCCCTTTCTATCCTTTGACTTGACACAAAAATGAATGTTTTGTAGCAGCTACCATACCTTGGAAGTCCTCAGCTAAAAGCAATTCTGAGGTTTTAAGTGTGTTGTTTCAGACAGCTCCGTTCTACTTGAAAACCGTTCTCCTCTAGTTATTGTCTAGCCTTTGAATTCAGAGTTGGCAAACTGGTTGCTTTATGTCTTTGAGGCATATGGAAATTGATGATGAAAGTGTCTAGTGTAACTCGAAATATAATTTGATGAAAACTGAAGCAGTGAACTGTGAGAAACTGCTAAATCAGTGTCATCAAACAGTGCTTGAAAAAATAATGAAACAGAAATACTACCAGTACATTTGAAGAATGCCGGGCAAAGACTGTGAAATAACATGGCAAATGCAAAAATTAGGGGAATGTATAACATCTATTTTTAAACAAATTCCAGTCACTCTTTTGCAAAAAAAGCACAACATAAAATTCCATTCCATGTGACATCACGACTTGCGTAAATTATTGAAACCCAAAGCCTGACACCAGTTATTTACAAGGAACTCCATATTTGGCCCTGGCACTGCCTAATGAGAACACATTGTAAGTACTTGTTCACATTCTGGCAATGCATCTAGTCTTTCAGGGAAAATAAAGAAATCAAAACAAACCATGCACTACAGCTGAAGAATAGCAATGCATACAACAGTGAAACTCCAGCAATTAAAAGATGCCACCTTTCTAGGAGTTAGCAAATCATGAAGCAATTGTGGTAACTTTTTATGCTGAGATAGAGACCGCAGTAAGCAGCCTGGGAGACTGCATTGTTTTTGTTTCTGGAGGGTGTCAAGAAT